TTTACAAAAATGACAAGTATATAGAGAAAGTCTAATTACATGAAGCAGAAAGAGACATGATCAATATATTTGGATAATATCCTATAAAACTATCAGACAGTTTTGCATCATTGACTATATCCTGCAGTTTCAATAAGAAAGCAAAATTAGAAAGGATTTTTGCACACTGCGGAGATCAATAGGAACACAGAGGAGGTAGGTAAGTAAGTGACCATAACTAAAACAAATTCCTCTTTTGTGCTTTAAAAAATTATAGTCATGAGCTTCCAAGTGTACCATGCAAATGCTCATAGGTATGCCATATTAATTATTCTTTATTTGTTAGAAGAAATCAGAAAAGCTGGCACCAGAAACAAGAAAATCAGAAGGGAAACATAAGTATCTAGCTAGTTTTTCCTTATTGCAAGGATGAACAGAGACTGCATTGTGTTTGCATAAGCTTTTCATTCCCACAATTGTGTCTATCTTTCACCTTTAGGATAGAAAATGTATGTAAAAAGTTCAAAAGACAAATCTAACTAAAGCATAGCATCCATTTTCTTAGGATTTATGAAAGAAAGTCTACAGCATTTGTAGATTCATAGAAATCTCCTTTCACTGACAACACAGAGATTTTATGAGTCATAATTGACTTGATGGCAATAGGGTTTTTTTTTAATTTAACTTAAATATTGTGGTCTCATATTTAAGAGTTTATAAACAGACAGTCTAGGTTTCAGAATTCCTTTGGCCTGGTCCCCAGGGTTTTCAAGGAGGCAGTCTAGGAATTGGTTGAATATTTGGAATAGCTGATATCTATCTAGCTTAAAGGACTCAGAAAATCCACCAAACCAAAAACCAAACCCACTATTGTCGAGTTGATTGCGACTCGTAGCGACCCCTCCTTGGGTTTCTGAGGCGGTATCTCTACAGAAGTAGATTGCCCAGTCCTTCTCAGAAAATCCATCTGAAGGGAAAAAAAGAAGTTCCATTTTCAATAATTACTGGCAGGGCCCTAACTAGGACAAGATGACCAGAATTTTGCCCAAATTTACAGAGCACAAATTTAAGCTCTTCTGCTCATCCTCCCTTCCCTCAATGTTTAAGGCAGTATAAATTTCTACATTTAAAATTTTAAGCTTCTCAGCAAATTTCCACACCACCTCTCTAGTCACAAGACTACAAGTTCAGCCAGGCCAGCCTCTCTGCTAGTAGACAGAAGATAGTCGGTGCTGGGAAGCCAAGGTCAAGAGGACTTGGGAAGAGGGTCATTTGCTCCTTTCCACTTGCCTTATCCTCTCCCCTGCCCTTGTCTCTAGAAGGTACAAGTTACCAATTTGCTAGTTATATTTATTGATTTTCAGAGCCATTAATCTAGGTTGCAGGTTCTTAGAGTTGTCAACCTGCTTCAGTTTCCATTCCTGATGGGTGCCCACCAAAAAGCATATTATTTGAGTGTCATCCTCCACCTTGTGAAGACAAAGAAATGAAAAATACAGTATCACACTGGATCCTTATTCCTCCAGAGATGTCTTCAAGTCCTGGCCAAGGCCTTATAGCTTTTCGTCTTTGGAACTCTATGAACATGAAATGAGTTTTATCAGGTTTGGATGGGAAATAAGCATTTCCTAAAGATTTCAGGGGAATGGTGAACCACCCCCCCCTTAGGTTGTTCCTAACATAAATTAGGCATTTAAAATTTTAAAAAAGTTAGTATTCTCAAACACAGAAATTAAAACTTTAGGTGAATGGAAAGAGAGAGAGAGAAATAGGTGGTTTGTGTAATAAAATTATTAAACTATCATAGTAATAAGAAGAAACTGCTATCTTTTCCATCTTGAATCACCTATCAACTTCCTATGAAGGTATTGACTAATCTAAGATATATTTTTTGACTAATTTCAAATATTAACATATCTGTAGTCTTTTATTTTACATATAGATATTTAAGCCATGTTGTCCAGATTGCTTCAACTGCAAGGTGTATCCAGCCTAAATGAAGTTTTTCACCAAGAGTAGGGCATTAAATATCATAAAACAAAACAGAATACTGTCAGAATAGCTGTCATTAGGGATCATTTACTTGCTTCCTTATTAAAGTAACTATTAAAATAACTAAAAATGAATTTCACAGAAACAAAATCCATTGACTTCTTAGTGTGAGAATTGTCATTTATATGCACAAATTTGTATAAACTGGTAGTAAAATACTCTATATAAAGCTCACGTGTCAGCCCTCTCAGATACTAAAAAAAAAAAAAAAAAAACCACTTTTGTTATGGAATGACTTATTCTTCAGCCACCTTAATTTTACTGAAGCATGGTTAAAATGAAACAGAAGTCATCCTTATTCATGATTCTTAGAATGACTGCAGTTCTCAAATTGGGGCTAACACAAATTAAAAGTCCTATCAAGTATGTGTTTTCTCCCTGTGCTCTTTTGTGCCCCTCCCATAGGATAACCTAATTTCTGTTACCAAGAATCAATTGAAAACTTAAGACAGACATGAAAGAGTGATATATCAAAAGTGATTAAATATTTTCTTATTGAATGTGCCTACCAACATCTGGAATATCTTCTGAGCTAAATCTTAAGGGTCAATAATATTGTAATATATTTGACCAAGGTTGGTAAACTAAAAGACCCAATCCTAAAGTTCTTAATTTCAGATAAAAGAAAATAATGAGAGTTTAGAATGTATTATCTTAGTGGTAATAGAGTATTCCAGAGTACTTTACAAGATCATTCTAGAGAGGTCCTCACTTAGTAACACATATTTTTCAATAAAAATATAGATACATAACTTCACACTACACACACACACACACACACACCTCTATACTTATATACATTTATCAAACCAATGAAAGGGGCCTATGTATGAGTTGTCACTGTACAGTAATGCTACTAAACTGTAATTACTCTATAAGAAAACACTCTCATTAAATTGTAGGCATACTTTAATAGCATGAGCAGGTATGTGTGTCCTTAAGTGAAGACACTGGAAGAATCACAGTTCCATTTTGGTCTAATCCAGGTTTATCAACCTTGGCACCACTGACATTTCAGACTAGGCAATTCTTCATTGCATGGTTCTGGCCTGTGCATTGTAGGATGTTTAGGAAGATCCCTGGCCTCTACCAACTAGATATCAGCAGTACTCCCAGGGTCAGGACAATCAAAAGTGTCTCTAGACATTGCAATTGTCCCGGGGTAGGGGAGAAGCCAAAATCACACCTATCTGAGAAGCACTTGTCTAATCAAACATCAGTAGTTAACAGCGTTTCTGTCTTTCTTTTCAGAACCCACATAGAATGCTTTTGCACAAATTTACAGACTAACATTACAAAAATCAGTTGTATTAACTCTATAAAACAATACAGGAATCATAAGAAAAGGCAAAATTTCCTGGTAGCATTTTCAATAGGACTGTGAATGCATGGGCTCTCTGAAGCTCATCAACTATATTTTTAACAATTTTAACAAATAAAGCACTAATTTGAATGGCATATTTTAATGACTTTCTAGCCCTTTTATAATTTGATGAAGTGTGGAGATAAAAATGCATTCCCCTTTTTCAGGTAACTATTAAACAATGACAACAGCTCAAAAGAGGAAATATATTCAGGATTACACATAGAGTGAATATTTAACACAGGTAATTCACATTATGTTTTTGCCACTACATAGGATCAAAACAGCAAATTAGTTCTGCATGGAATCAATCAACACTCTCCAATTCCTCACTTTGTAAGTAGCAATATAATCTGTGTCATATTTTAATTGCTAATTGTGATAATAAACTCACTATTCAATCACATTTAGAGACTGCCTGTATCAGTGATGTCCAGTTCTGCCAAGGGGCCTCTTTTTGTTTGTTTGTTTAATCTTGGTATCTTGTAAATTAACCCACCAAATATGTCACTTATTTTAACTTTTTGGTATACTCAGTTTCTAATATTAAGTTGAAACAGAACTTTTAGACAAAATTTCCTACATTTTGAAGACTTTTAAAAGAGCCAAGGTCATGAGTTCTGATGTCTCCTTTTAGCTGAAGGCATCTGAAGCACAGTAGGAGGCTTCCTTTACCTTTCTCTTGCATGTAAACACATCAGCTGCTTATAATCTATCACTAGTGTAACAAGCTTTCTAAGTAGTCCTACCTGCTACTAGGGAAGAAATAGCTACTAACTCATAACCCTTTACTTGAATGAACCCTGCCTTGTGCGACCATGCTCAACACAGGGTCCATTCCTGATGTATTTGGAAGTTAGAATGAATAAAACAAGTCTGCTCATTCTGGGTAACCATTCTGGTGTAAGATTTGCATCTCATGCTGGTATGGGCATTAGGAACAACAACCAGGAAGCTGCTTGTTGTATAACAATATTTAGTGGGTAATACATAAGAGATTTGTGGCTCTCCAACATTGGTTGTAGATTTTTGCCATGCCAGACCATGTGGGTGCAGCTTTTGTAGTCACATAGGGGTGAGTTCTTTTAATCTACCCCAGCACTCACCCATTGCCCCTAAACTCTGTGCACGTGTATGTCTGTCTATGCTTGCTGGTGTATATGCATGCATATCCTCCTACTATAACTATACTACGGTAGAGAGGAAAAGGGATGTGTCTCATAGCCTGTCTTCCATCAAGACTAAACTTTATTTCATTGTGCTTTACATCATCTCTAAACACTGAATTATGAAACAATCATGAAAGTTTTAACATAAAGAATGCACGCACATTTGTAATCTTTTTTTGCACTAAACCAATAATAACAATGCAAACAGGCTTACATAATGTGGATTTAAAATATGAATTTATGCCCTAAATTTTGAGGACAGAAAGTGACTCTTGTTATCCAGAATAACAGGATCAACACAGTCTAAAGTCAACAATATTTCATATTGTTTAAGTAGACTTTACAAAAGGGGAAGAAGCAAATCTTATTTCAAGTCTTTAAAAAGGAAAGGAATTATATTTAACATAGACTTGGACTTGGTTCAACAAATCACAATAATCAGCTGTAGCATTTTAATATCCTTATTACTCAGTAAGGGATTTTTTTTTTAGTCTACCCCAGCAATCACCCATTGCCCCTAAATAGGGCAAAAATAAATAATAATTTTTAAAAAAGGTTATGTTCTAAACCTAATCAGACAGGTTTGTTTTTAAATTAAGCCAGTTTGTGTTGATAATCAGCAACACTTTCCGCCAGCATTCCCCTTCCTCTAACACAATGAGTTCATCAGCCTCAGTAACTAGAGGTCCATCTTGTGTATGCGCTGTGTCTTCTAGATTCAAACTGTGTAAACAACATCATATCATTAGCATTTTACCAGCTGAAAATCCACAATGTGCTATAAAATATGTCACAGAACATTTCTGTTCTTATATATCCTCTAAGTTCACATCAAAGTAGAGATTTCCTTGGGTTTTCGTTGTCTTTTTTTTTTGTCTTTCCAAATGGCCCATCCAAATCCATGAAACAACTTGACCATTTTCTTCTGGAGTCACATAGAAAACCTAACAAAAATACCCTGGCTCAGTTTTTTTCTTTTCTTGTAGTCCCTAGGAAGTGGGTTGAAGTGAGGTGTTCTCACATGGGTCTAGCTGCATTCTCAGTGCACCGATTTTATGAAGATACCAGAGTTGGAGAAATTCCTCTGGCATGGCATGGAAGCCAGAAAATGGCAAGACGTTATCATAATAGTGGTGGCTGATGGGCTGCTCATGCATATTCACAGAGAAGGGCCAGAAGCCATAGATGGCCACCTCTTCACAGAGCCCCAAGGCTGCACTCACCAAAAAAAGTCCTGTGGACAGGCGCTTAGCATGAATTCCTCTATTTTTCCAGAACTTTCCAATGCTACGAAGAAAGTTGGGGTTAGCAAAAAGCACTGTTTGATTGGCACCAACATCAGACAGTGTATAATAAACCCGGAGGGATGGCTCTGTTCCTGTCTTCATAGAAAATGCAGGCATGTAGATGTAACTGTGGTTATAGATTTTCATGTTGTCCACAAATGTCTTTCTGGACCAAAGCAGGTTTTGAAACCTATGAAAGAGAAGAAGCTCAATTAAACCTGGAAAAATCTACTCTATTGTTTTTCTGATGGCCTTGGTGGCTCACATCGTCTCAGCAAAAACATGTACAACATTTTGCTTGCATTTAAATTCTCCTTGAATTTACCAGTTATCTCTCATCAAATAGCCCAGTTTCCCACCACCCTAAAGTTGATGCATTTGAATTACCGTGTTAGTGAAGAATGTTGAGTATACCATATGTTAGAAGAATGAACAAATCTGTCCTGGAAGAAAGTATAGCCAGAATGTTTCTTAGAAAGGAGAATGGCTAAACTTTGTTTCACATACTTTGGACATTTTATCAGGAAAGATAAGTCCACAGTAACCCCTGGAGAAGGGCAGAATGCTTGGTAAAGTAGCGGGTCAACAAAAAAGAGGAAGAGCCTCAGCGAGATGGGTTGACACAGTTGTTGCAACAATGGGCTTAAACATGGCAATAACTGTGAAGAATGGCACAGGACTGGTGGTGTTTTGTTCTGTTGTACGTAGGGTCACTATGAGTCAGAATCAACTCAAGGGCATCTAACAACAAAAGTGTTAAACTCAGGTTAATATTCTTTAAAGTTTTTTTTTTTTTTTCTGGACTAAAATGAATTGTACAGTTTGTTCTTTTCTAGATTGTATTCTCTAGAATGCAAAATGGTTTAATACTCATCAATGTTCATCACAAAGGATGCTGGGGAGAGTTTTGATAAAACCTACATAAGCAATCTGGCATAAGCACAGGGATGGTTTCCTCATCTGCAAATTAAAGGAACTATTTCTAAGATATGTCTTCTACTCAAAATCCATGATTCCATAAGCATGCAGATAAATAAATGCTACACTGTAACTATAATATTACATGGAAAAGAAGGACTTGTTACTATTATAAAATGATACTTTGAGTTGCTCATATAGCTCACTCCCCCCAAATTCTACTATTCTATGTTCTTTCCATGTGGATTACATAGAGAGAAAAGATCTCTAGTTAAAATGTATTCAACTAAAATGTTTGCTATACCTTCTATGTACCAGGAACTGAGAGTTTAAAATGAATGATACAATTTTGATCTCAAGAAATTCAAGTCCAGCTGTGGAAATAAAAATATAAAATATAAATGTGTACATGTTCTACGTGAGCAGTTGATAGTTGTATAAAGTACTAGAGAACATAGATAAAATATAATTCTGCCTTCAGAGGGGAAGTGGCCATATAGCTGGCCCAACAAAGGGGAAACCAGAAATTCTTATCAGCTCATACAGTGTTGACAGCCAGGTTCACAGTCCCCAGGCAGAATACTGAAACTGACTGGCCGAAGAGAAAAGACCTATGGATGATGACATTTGAGAGCCACTCAAGAGAATGTCAGCTTGTCACCTTCTTAGCTTACAATGAAGTCCATCTAAGAACAGGCCCAGTTTGCCACAGAGCTTCCAGTTGCTGAAGAACAGATAACCAAGTTCAGCAGACATTGAGGGAAGGTCTCCAGCATAAGAGTTGGAGAATAAAACAGAAGAACAAAGAAATTCAGAGGAAACCAAGACCATTCAAGAGGCAGAGGAAAGCCCTTAAAAATCTATCACTATATAAAAGTTACATAAAAAGATAAGAACAGGCAATATTATAAAGAGACCAAAGTTAGTTAGTGATTACTAGGGGCGAGAGGAGGAAGTCTGGTAGCACAGTGCCTAAGGCACTTGACTGCTAACCAGAAGGCTGGTGGTTCAAACCCACCAGCCACTCCATGGAAGGAAGTTTGGACAATCTACTTCCGTAGTGATACTGCCTCAGAAACCCAAGGAGGGGTCGCTATGAGTCAGGTCCAACTCGATGGCACATAACAACAATAGGGGCGAGAGGGGAGATGGTGGTGTAGAGCCTAAGACATTTGACTGCTAACCAGAAGGCTGGCGGTTCAAAGCCACCAGCCACTCCTTGGAAGGAAGGTTGTAGTGATACCACCTCCGAACCCAAGGAGGGGTATGAGTCAGATCCGACTCAACGGCAGTGAGGTCTTTTTTGAGGGGCCAGAGGGCGATGAAAGAGGATGGTGCTTATTGCTTATGGAGCATTGAGTTTTGGTTTCTGGTGATGCAAAAATCACATTAAGGTAAAGGGTTACACAGTTGATTAATATAATTGATGTCAATAAGTTATACAACTGTAAAAAGATGAACTGGCAAGTGTTGTGTGATGGACATATTCACATTAACTGTCACTACCACCACAACAAGGAGCAGCTGCTGAGGCTGCTTATGCACAGCCAAACACTTCATGAAGTTTGGGTTCTTGGTTTTGAGGTTTAGGGTCACGGTCTCATAGGATATCCCAGTTAATTGGTCTAATACCATGTTTAGTGCTGCTGTTTTACCTCTTACTTTGTTGTATTATACCTGAGGTCTTAAAAGCTTGCAAGCAGCCCTCCAAGGTATAAGGCTTGTCTCTATTTGCCTGGAGCAACAGAGGAAAAAGGAGAGTCAGGAATAGGAGGAAGAAATGGAATGTGTGGCTAATTGCCTCCATGAACAACTGCCTCTTTTGCCATGAGATCACTGGATGAAGCCTGATCGTCATTACTGAACATTTTGATCAAAGATTCCAGAGAAAAATCCTGATCAAAAGGGAGAAAATGCTGAAGAGAACTTCAAATTCTCATGGAATCCAGATTTTTTAGAGCTATTGAGGCTAGATGAACCCTGGAAACTACTACCCTGAGATAATCTTTAAACCTTAAATATTAAATAAAAAAATATTCCCCAAAGTCTTCTTTAAACCAAACAATGTTGTTGTTGTTTGCCACTGAGTTGGACCTGACTCATAGCGACCCAACAATAGTTTAGCTTAATTAGTAAAGAAATGCCTGTCTTGAGCATTGTGCTTTTTTAAAGAGCTATCTATACGGAGTCAAACTGACAACACAACTAGAAACACTGGATGGGAAACCTAGAAAGCAGTGAGCTTATGTTAATGGAGAAGGAACAACTCAGAAAAGGAGAGTGAGAATGATTGCATAATTTGAAGAATGTTGTCCATGTCCCTGAATTGTACATGTAGAAATTGTTGAATTGGTGTATGTTCTGCTGTGTATATTCTCAACAA